CTCACACCTCCATCCTCTTTCTCTGTTGGTGTTTCTGAAGGTATGTGTGCATGTGTATGTGCATGTATTTGTGTGTGTGTGTGTATGTGTGTGTGTGTGTGTGTGTATGTGTGTGTGTTATGTGCATGTGTGTGTGTGTGTGTGTGTGTGTGTGTGTGTGCTGGTGTTTCTGAAGGTACACACACAGGTGTGCATGCATGTATTTGTAGGCCAGAAAAGAGCTTCAGGTGTGTTTCCTCTATGATCTACTTTTTTTTGGGGGTTGGGGTGGGGAATAGGGTCTCCATGGCCTGTGACTCATCACTGAGGAGGCTAAACTAGCTGGCCGGTGTCCTGGGCCAAGATGTACTTGTAACCACCACTGGCCTCGGTGGTTACAAGTACATCTTACCACATCTGGCTTTTTCTTTCTTGGTGGATTCTGTGGCTCACACTCCGCTCATCACACTTGCAGAGCAAGCGTTTTCCTGTCTTCACTCCCTCCTCGGCCAGAGATGCCAGAATCTTGTCTCTTTCTGACAGTTCCAGGATTGCAGGGACCGTCTTTGCCACCCCACCCCACCCCCCGCCACCGGTGCCGTATATAAGCTGGCTCTGATAGGTGTAGGGGAGTGTTTGTGGGACCATTGAATGGGCCTGAGTGTGTGTAGGAGTCCAGGATCGTATGTTACTTAATACCCCACACTCTTCTTTCTTTTGGCACACACAAAAAAAGATTAAGATCTCTGTGCCTGCCACTGAGTTGAGTAGAGTGAGTAGGATTCTCCTGCTTGGTAGGAGTCGGGCTCCTCTCCTGACAAGAAAGGGAGGTGCCTGGCCAGTGTGGGGAGCCTGCCAGCTGCACCCTGCTGTGATTCCCCTGGTCTCTGGGTCTCCTGGCTGTAATGAAGGATAAATGACTAGGTGCCCAGATACAAACTTCACCTTTTGAGCCCACAGCTGCAGCTGGATCCACATGCCAACTGCCATGAGCAAAGCCCTGCGGCTTCTGCTGCCAGCTGCTGCCAGGCAAAAGCCACGCTGTAATTGCTGGAGGGAACCTGCCTTCCTGCTCTTCTTGGGAAACAGAAACAAAACAAAACAAAACAAAGCATGAATTGGCTTTCAGAGAGAGGTCTTGGGTGTGTAGATGGGCATGTATGCACATGTGCCTTCCACAGGTGGAGGATGAGGAATCTGGGACCCTGTCATCTATGTATGAGGAGGGAGGCATCCGTGCCAACCTTGGCCTTTCTACACGGGTCTCAGGCGGTGCTTCTGAGAACCTAACAGAAAGTATATTTTCTTATCTTTCCAGGTTTCCATTCTATTATGAACTAAAAATAGCATTTGTAGCCTGGCTGCTGTCTCCCTATACAAAAGGATCCAGCCTCCTGTACAGGAAGTTTGTTCATCCCACACTGTCTTCAAAAGAAAAGGTAATTGACACTGCTTCTAACAAGCCAAAAAATCAAAGTTCTGTGTAGAAAGGACTGTTCTGTTGCAGGAGACCCCTTCTGGTTCCTCTGTACCTCAGCAGGTGAGTGTTTCCTTTAATAGCTATCTCTCTATCTCTCTATATAATCGTCTCTCTCATTCTCTCTTTCTCTCTCTCACACTTATTGTGTGTGGGCACATGCATGCCATGTCACACATGAAGATCAGAGGACAACTTTTGTAGATGAATCTTAAAAGGTCTTATTAATAAAAACACTCTGGAGTCAGGTATTGGGGTGAGCGCTGAAAGGTCAGAGAAACAAAACAAGCCACATCCAACCTCACCTTGCCAATTCCTCAGCTGATCTTTTTTCCTCAGACTGGAAGCCTCTGAATCCTCATCCGAATGGATCTCAGCTGAACTGCTGCTAAAAGCTAAAAGCTTAAACAGGCTCTACTTCCTGGTCCTCATGCCTTATATACCTTTCTGCTTCCTGCCTCACTTCCTGGAATTAAAGTCATGTGTTACCATGCTTGGCTGTTTCCAGTGTGGCTTTGAACTCACAGAGATCCAGGCAGATCTCTGCCTCCAGAATGCTAGGATTAAAGGCGTGTGTGCCACCATTTTCTGGCCTCTATATCTAGTGGCTGTTCTGTTCTCTGACCCCAGATAAGTTTATTAGGGTATCCAATATTTTGGGGGACACAGTATATCACCACAGACTTGCAGAGATAACAATGGTTCTCTCCTTCCACCACAAGTACCCTGAGAACTGGACTCAGGTTGTAAGGCTTGGCAAGTACCTTTATCCACTGAGCCATCTCATCAGCCCCTCTCTCAATTTTTTTTCTTTTTGAGATAGGGTCTCATTCTGTAGCCTAGGCTGTCCCTCAATTCACAACGTAGTCTGGGTTGGCCTCCAACTCATCATGATTCTCCTGCCTTAGCCTCCCATGTGCTGGGGTTAAGGCTTACACCACTATACCCAGCTCCAGTGCCTTTTTAAAAAGCACTTCTGTAGCTGGGTATGATGCTGAATGCCTTTAATTCCAGCACTCAGGAGGCAGAGGCAGAGGCAGATGGATCTCTGTGATTTCAAGGCCAGCCTGGTCTACAGAGTGACTTCCAGGCCAGACAAGGCTAAACATTGAGACCCCGCCCCAATCATTTCTGTAAGCTTCTGTTTGATTTTCAAATTTTACTTTTATTATTCTAATTGTATGTATTGATGGAGTACAGCATGATTGTGGGAGTCTGTGGGAGTTCAGCTCCAACCTGCTCCCACCTTTTGAAGGGTTCTTAGGTGGAGAAGAGGGGGATAAGAAAATATCAGATAGAAAGAGAGACCTAGATGATAAAAAGACAGAGACACAGGATAGCTTCGGGAGGGCCTGGGTCAATACCCAATAGCCCTTAGGTTTATTCAAAAAGACTTTTTATAACATGCCAAGGGGCAAGGCAAAAGACCTCCCCCTTGCTAAATCAAAGCACACCACACAGCCAAGTGTAGACCCTTCCAAACACCTGGTAACCACGCCCGTGGTCAAATCATCCCCTTATGCAGCCCTGCTGCTGGGTAAAGCAAGCTCAGATTCTCTGACCCTGAGTAAGTTCTCACTAGGAAGCCTCTGTGGGCTCCCACACATGATAATTTTATAAATGCATATAATTTGTGCTGACCAAATCAAGGCAGTTAGTGTTACTATCTCCTCACACATTTTTAAAAGACGTATTCGTACATAGTAATTGTACATATTTATGAGTATGGTGTGATATTTCAGCGTTTTTGCAGTGTGGTCTTTCCCCCTCATTGTGAACTCCTGGCACCCACAGTGCTACAGAACACCGGTGCTCATTGCTTCTGTCTGTACTGCTGTCCACCTTCCTGTGTCCCTTGTCTCCTTTCCTGCTTTTGAACTCTGCAACCAGACTGACTATTTTAACATCCACACAGGGAAGAAAATGTGGTGTTTGTATTTCTGGGTCTGGCTTATTTCACTTTACCCAGTGTCCTCCATTTGCCCCATTTTGCTTAGAAAGGTTATCTTTTTGTATTAGAGCTGAGTAGTTTTCCATTATGCATATATACCATATTTCCTCATTTATCCAATGATGAGCATATGGATTAATTCCATATCTTACTGTCATCAATAGTCCAGCAATATCTGATTGGTTCAAAATCTGCAGTTATCTCAATAGATGCAAGAAAAAGCATTTGATAGAATTCAGTATTTCTTGGGCTGGAGAAATGGCTCAGCAGTTAAGAGCACTTGTTGCTCTTGTAGAGGACCTGAGTTTTTCCCATCACTCACATGGTGTCTTAAAACCATCTGTAATTCCAGCCCCAGGGGATCCAACACCCTCTTCTGACCTCTGCAAGCACCACACACATATGTGATGCTTATACATACATGCAGGCTAAACACTCATACACATAGACATAAAGCAAATAAACCTAAAAATAAATATTTTAAAAAAGAATTTAATATTATGACAAATCTATCAAAAAATACATACAGAAGGAACATACATGAACATGTTAAAAACCATGTGTGATAACTCACTGCCTGTATCATACCTGATTGGGGAAAAGCTTTCAATTTCCCCTTTATATCTCAGATAAGACAAGTATGTGTCCACCTTCACTACTTTTTTTCTTCTAGTATTGGATGGTCTCTCCCTAACAGTCAGGCAAGATAAATAAATAAATAAAAGACATAGGAAGAGAGGAAGTCTACCATTCCTATTTACATGATTCCACAATAGATTAAACTGACAAATGAATTCATTAAAGTCAAATAATTTTTTAAAATATCAAGGTATAAAATCAGTAACATTGAGACTAGAAAGATGGTTCCACTGGTAAAGTGTTTTCTATGCAAGTGTGAGGACCTGAGTTCTGATCCTAAACACCCATAGGAAAAAACAGGTTTGGAGTGCATGCCTGTAACCCCAGCATTGGTGAATAGGAGAGGATCAGAGGCAGGCAGATCCTCTGGAAATCCCTTACAGATGGTCTAGCCACATCAGTGAGTTCCAAGTTTAATGAAGACTGTCTCAAAAAATGGAAGATAGAAGGATACAGATATATCTCCCACATTTGTGTGCACGCATGTACACACACGTGCATAAACACATGAACATACACATACACACACATCTATCATACATTCACACACACACACACACACACACACACACACACACACACACACCACAACCAGTAACATTTCTTCTTTATTATGTGCTAAAGATTGAGCCCAGGGACTCATGAATGCTAGGCAGATGTTTTACCACTGGCCTAAGTCCCCAGCCCATCAGTCACATTCTTAATATACCAACGACAATATTGTTGACAAGGAAATATGAAAGTAATATCTTTGTTTAAAAAGTGTATGTTTGCACCGGGCAGTGGTGGCGCATGCCTTTAATCCCAGCACTCGGGAGACAGAGCCAGGCGGATCTCTGTGAGTTTGAGGCCAGCCTGGTCTACAGAGTGAGATCCAGGACAGGCACCAAAGCTACACAGAGAAACCCTGTCTTGAAAAACAAAACAAAACAAAACAAAACAAAGTGTATGTTTGCACATGTGTAGATAAGTGGCTGGGCACAGTGGCTTACACCTGAAATCCTCACTCTCAAGAGGCAAAGGCAGGAAGATTACAAATTTGAGGCCAGCCTGAGCTACAAAGTGAGATCCTGTCTCAAAGAAAAAGTAGTGAAATTATATAGAGATGTTATTTATCTTTTTTGATAAAACATTTTCATAAATTTTAAAAAGAGAAAAAAATTAATAATTTAATTCCCCCCAATCACATACATCCAGTTCCAATAGTCAGAAGGAAGAAGCAGGTGGGTTTCCTGACCCAAGTTAAAGACTGACAAGAATAGTCTACGTAGGGAGTTCCAGGCCAGCCAGGAACAAGCAGGTCTTATCTCAAAAAATAAATTAATGAATTAACTATCCAAACGTGACCTTTATTTCCTTTTTTAAAAAATGGTGCTTACTTCCTGTCATTCTGCAAATAAGATCTCTACATATGCTGTTTACCATTTCGTATAGACTCTTGTTTAATTGTTGTCAAAATTGAGCTGGCAACAGTGGCACGCACACACGCAGTCCCAGACCTTTGCAAGAATAAGGGAGGAAAAGTCTATTGAACCAAGAGTCCAAGACCAGCGCAGCCAACATAAGAAGGTTCATCTCAGAAACAAATAACAAAACACTTAACGTAGAGGGCTGTGAAGACAGCTGAGCTGGTGAATGCTTGCCCACCAGGCACAAAGCCCAGCGTTAGTCTCCAACACTGTTTAAAGCCGGAATGGTGGCATGCACCTCGAATCCCAGCACTCAGAAGGTGGAGGCAGAAGTTCAAAGGTCATCCTAGTCTACATAGTGTCTTCCGGGCCAGCCTGAGTTGCTTGAGATCCTGTCTCTAAATAAATAAATAAATCTTAATATAGATAAAATATTTGTATTCAAGAAGATGGTGCAGCCAGGCAGTGGGTGGCGCACACCTTTAATCCCGGCACTCAGGAAGCAGAGGCAGCCAATCTCTGTGAGTTCGAGGCCAGCCTGGCCTACAGAGTGAGTTCCAGGACAGGCACCAAAACTACACAGAGAAACCCTGTCTCGAAAAGTAAAAAAGAAGAAGAAGAAGAAGAAGATGGCTCAGTTCTTTGTCAGCATGAGGACCTGTGTTCATATCCCCAGAGCATGTAAAAGACAGGCATGATGTGTGTCTGTGACCCCAGCTCTAGGAGAGTGGGGAGGGGCAGTACACCCAGGCAGAAACCAGGGCTCAGTGTCAGCTAGTCTAACCCAAATGGTGAGCTCCAGGTTCAATGAGAGATCTTATCTCAAAAACTGCGGTCTAGACGGCCAGTTAAGTGGTCCACAGGATAAATATGCTAGTCACCAAACCTGACAATCTGAGTTTGAGCCCCAAACCCAGATGGGAGAGAGGTTGTATTCTGCCCCACCACTGCCACACACACAGAATGAATAACTGTCAATTGAAAACCTTTACTGAAGTAGACAGCAATGGAGGGAGACACCCAATGTACCCATGGGTGCACACGTCTCCCCAACACATGTACAGCACACACACTAAGTAAATGATTCTAACAGTGTATAATTCATTAGTTACATTATTTCCTAACCTAATTGTGTAGTAGAATTCTTTAAAATAAAGCAGGAGGCTGCTACATTTGAGTGTGAAATATCCCTCACAAGCTCGCGTGTTTGAGGAGCTGGTCACAGCTGTGGCGCTGTCTGGGGAGGCTGTGGAATCTCTTAGACATGGGGTCTGAAGGGCAAATGTGGGTTATGGGGCAGGAATTTAAGTTGATACTCTGATTCTGGTGCACTGAGGTCTCTGGTTCGTGGTTGTGCCTTGTAAGAAACAGCTGTCTCCTGTTCCTGCCACTGTGACCTTGAGCAGCTCCCATGACCGCGTCCTGCCTACCATGATGAATGATATGACCTCAAACCATCAAGAAAAAACAAAACAAACAAACAAACAAAAAAAAAACCAACTTCCTTTCTCAAGTCATTCTCTGAGGAATTCTCTCACAGCACCAAGAAAATGACCACAGAGCCTTGTAGGTAGCTCCCACTGGTATATTAATGTCTGCAGTTTCTGAAGTTCAAGGCTTTGGACTTCCTGTACAGGAAGGCCCTGGAGAACGGAGTAATTAATTGGGCATCTTTGACCTCCACAGCACCGGATGCACATGGTGCACATATATACATGCAGGCAAAACACCCATACATATAACATAAATCTTTTTAAAAATAGAACAAAACCAAACCAAACAAACCCCTGAGTTTTGCCACCGACTAGCTGAGGTCTGAATCTGAACCTTTGTGGCATTCTGTCATGCTGGATTCTGTCTGTCTGTCTTGTTGAACAGCTTCCCAGGGAAAGGCAGGATTGTTTTCATCCCTGGAACGTAAAAGAACTTTAGAGATAACCCCTGAGCCTTGCTGGGACAGTGAATTGCTGTGTTTTTGCTTGTTCAGAATTCCCCTTTGCCCTTGGCCATAGCTAACCTGTCTTTCTCCAGCCCGCCATCTATGGACACCTATTCAAAGTGTCTATGACATTACAGGCCAGGGAGAGTCAGCCATCGGGCAAGCTGACAAGCCCGCGCTTGGGAAGAAAGGATGAGAAGAGATGTATTTGATCTTGCCAGTTCAGTGTGCCTCTGCTTCTTCTCTGACAGGAAATCGATGACTGCCTGGTCCAAGCAAAAGATCGAAGTTATGACGCCCTTGTGCACTTCGGGAAGCGGGGCTTGAATGTGGCGGCCACAGCAGCTGTGATGGCTGCTTCCAAGGTAGAGTACCGTGCCGGGGCCTGACTACCAGGGTCCCCTAGTTACCTCTACCTGTCACCTATGTAGATCGCACAGGGTAGGCTAAAGACCACTCAGCACCCCTTTATCTTTGTATTTGAAGGTTCCTTTAAAAAATATAATGGGGAGCTGCGCGGTGGTTGAGCACACCTTTAATCTCACACTAGGAAGGCAGAGACAGGCAGATCTCTGTGAGTTCAAGACCAGCCTGGTCTACAGAGCGAGCTCTAGGACAGCCAAGGCTACACATAGAAACCCTGTCTCAAACAAAACAAAACAAAAAAAATACGATGAGGAAAGGATGGTGAATTTTGCCTCCGGAGCATTCGCCTCTCTTTCATATGCACATACACATGCACAGACATGCATGATATATGATAGCAAGAGTTTCCCAGAGTGCATGAAGCAACCTGTGGATCACAGGTTAAAAACCTCTAACCTGGGCTGGAGAGATGGCTCAGCCAGCAGTTACGAGCACACGCTGCTCTTGCAGAGGACCTGGGTTCGGTTCCCAGCACAGTCAGGTGGGTCACAGCTGCCTGTATCTCCAGCTCCAGGAGGAGATCTGATGCCTTCTTCAGACCTCAGTGGGTCCCCGCACTGGATCCACACACAGATGTGCACATAATTAAACATAAAATAAACCTTGAAAAAAAAAGTAATCTCCTGGAAGCTGAGGTGTGAAAGAAAAAAACAGAGGGAAAAGGGAGGGAGAGGATCATCTAAACCCAAAGTGGGAAAGTAGAGAGTTCATCTAGGCATGTAGATAGTCTCCATGTTCATGTGGTCCTTTGCATCCTGAGAAGGGATGAAAGGTTACAATGTAGAACATGATGATGATGATGATGATGATGTGTATAGCAGGCAGAGTGAAGTGGAGAAGGTTCAAAATAAACAGGACCAGTGGGCAATTGTGATGTGGTCATTACTTCTTCCTCTTTGTTATCTAGCCCCTGGGGGGAAAAAAGTCCTTTTTTATGTCCCTTCCTAGTTTCTTCTCATGTGACGCCTTGTCATTGTGTGGATTGCTATGTCTACAAACCCAAACAACTGAAATAGTCAGACATCTTAGAGTGAATTCATCAGATCTCCCTAGTGTTCCCTTCCCTGGGATCCAGACACAGGCTAGAGGTGTACAGTCAGCAGTTACAGCACTGTTGAGAAAACCCAGTGGCTAGCAGGGCGGTGGTGGCACACGCCTTTAATCCCAGCACTGTTAGGCAGAGCCAGGCAGATCTCTGTGAGTTCAAGGTCAGCCTGGTCTACAGAGTGAGATCCAGGACAGGCACCAAAACTACACAGAGAAACCCTGTCCTGAAAAAAAACCAAAAAAAGAAAAAGAAAAAAGAAAACCCAGTGGCTGAGAGGTGAGCTATAAGAGCAAAACAGAGGTGATAAGTCTGGACATGATGCCAGGGTTTGGGTCCGATGTGATGAGGTGTGGGTGGGTTTGGAGTCTGATGTGATGGAGGTATGGATGGGTTTGGGGTCTGATGTGATGGAGGTGTGGG